TTTTTCTTTGTTGCTTTAAATTAAAATTAAAAAATATAATTATAATATTATTTGATATTATAAATTTATAATATAATATAATATATTATTATATAATTAATTTTTATTTATAAATTTATTTATTATATTATACATATTTATTTAATAGTATATCACATTTATTTAATATCATATTAAAAATATAAATTTATTTAATTTTATTACTATAATATATTGTTGCAATTTTATTATCATTTTAGTTTTTTTATTATTGAATATTGCTTTTAAATGATAATGAAAAAGATGAGAAAAATGTAGATAATAAGAAAGATGACAAAAACAAAGATTAATTGAACAAAAATTATTTAATATTTAAGTATCAACAACATAAATTTTGTCAGTAAAAATTCATATCACTAACAAGCGAATCTATATTACTGATACTTAGTTGCTGAAAAAGAGAATTTTAATAGTGCCTTCCAAACAAGGACTCTTAATTTGTTTCAACAAGAAGAAAAAAACATGGACTTTTTGGATCAATTTCATTTTCAACCCAACTCCATGGACCCCTATGGACTCGTTGAATGAAAGTGAAATGGACAGCCATGGGATTAATTAAATATATAAATATATATTATATTATAAATAAATTTTTAAATACAAAATTAATTATAAAATAATATTATAATATTATAATATTTTTAATTTTTAAAAGGGTTAGAGCCAAGTTGTGGTCATTTCGTTCATAAACTTACAGAGTCGTTCATGGTATTATTATTGCAAAATCGGGGCTGCAGTGATTACGTCAACGTACACTTTCTTTTGGGCTTAAGTTAATAATTCATCCCATTGCCTATTTTCGAAAAAAAACAAAGAGTCAATAATTCATCTATTAATTATTAATCTAATATCATTTTAGACGGCCAAATGAGGGTGATAATGTTCCTGGAGTGCTGGGCGAGCTTTTTCGCGTTCATCGGATTGATATACTATCCGAACTACATATAATTAACATTATGATGTAAAAAACTGGAAAACGGAGATTCGAGAAGAAACCCACAGTAAGTCAGTTTGTAAACGGGTATAATGTTCTGGCTTCAAGATGTAATGAATGGCGGCGATAATCTGGGTAAGGTTTTTTTGTGTAGACAATGATACACGATAATTTTTTTATATTATTTTTGTATATAATTTTTATATATTATTAAATAAATAAATATATTTAATATCAAATATTCAAATGAATAAAAAAATTAATTGTTTAAATAACACATAAAATTATATAAAAATAATATTTTTTTATTGAATTGTATTAGCTTGATTCACTGGTTTATTATTTATTAGTTGCTTTTGATAATTTATTTTAAATCTTCTTTTGGGGGCCCAGTCAAAAGGAACTTAATTTGTTACAATTTAAGTTTTTATTGTAGGTTGATTGTGATATCTAAGATTAATTGAGATTGAGAAGCATAGAATGGTGGGGTGGTTTTGAATTGCAGACTCATTTGATTTGAACTTCTATGGCTTAAGTTTACAATTCGTGAATTGTTTAAGTGCAGATTCTTTGCAATTTTAAGCATAGGATTGATCTACGATATAATTTGAGAATCATGGTAATGCACTTGGGGTCTCCGATACATTTTTATATCATGTAATGTCCATTTGAAAAGGGTGTTGTTACAAAAAACAATGACTGATACATCATCGGTTTAATACACTTAGTAATATCTTCTTGATTTAGTCATTAAAAAATTAATATTTTTAAATTTAAATTTAAAGCAGAAAAATTTTAAAAAGTAAAATTTAATGACTGAACTGGAAGGTATTATTAAGTGTGTTGAACTAGAAGTATATCAATAAGTTTCCTCTTACAAATTTCATTGATTTGGTTTATTTGTGCAATCATCCTTTACTTATGGGGGAGGAATTTCGTTCAATTAACTCCTATTGATGTGTTTTAAAATGATGAGACTTGATGGGCCAAAATACACACTATTAATAATGAGTTGAGTTGTTACATATGGTATCAAAGTGAAATTTGTGTGAACTCTTGAATGGTGGTTAGGTAAAGTTTAATGAGAATGCTGAATTTCAAAAGAAGTGTATGTGACACTCCGAAACAAATCCCATATTCCCATATTGACAAAATATGTAACAGATACTAAGCATATGGGTCAAAATCTATTTATCTTTATTGACTTGTTTTAAAATTATAAAGCTCAATGGGCTAAAATGAATAATATCAATAGTAGATAGGGTTGTTACATGGATTATACTAATGACTTGTGGTGTCACTCTTAGATCAAGAATCAAGAATCAAGTCCAACTATAATATCCATCTAGACATTAGATTGTTTTATTATTATATGTTTAACAAAGTGTTTTACACTTTTAAAGTTAGATTTTGACATTTTGTAGTACCTCTAGTGCAATATATTATATGTGTTGATTTATAACTCTTGTGATTTTTTTTGTTGTTGATTAATGAATTTATTTTTACTAAAAAAAGATATGATTTTTAACATATTGGGGTTAATTAAATGGTTAATTTTTTTTTTAGATTTTGTTTTTCTTTTTTTGGTTTTTTTGGTTGCATCTGTGTTTCTATTCTTCAATGCTTGAGAAGTTTGAAAATTTGGAGTTTCCAAGCCCAAATGCATCTCTTCAAACCTTCTCTCTAGTGCTTGTCGAAAGATATTTTTGTAAGTTATCTTTGAAAAACTACCGGTTAGAAAGAATTAAATATTGAGATTATCTCAAAATAGATTTTGATGACTTTGGGGTGAGTTTCAATCCAACTCCTCCTGTTTTGGTTCTGGTAAGTTAGGTATGTGCAGTGAGAGGAGAGAGAAAAGTGGGTCCGAGCCAGGGGATGAAGAAGACTGCCGGTGGATCACTTTAAGTTAACAAGGATAACTGGTTTTCGGTAAATTATTAAAACCGTGAGCAACGTGGCAAATTATGGTACGAGTTACCACAAGAGAGTGCTCGAGCGATTGCGCCTGGCACTGCTCATTTTATTTTCGACCCTTATAACATTTTTTTAAAAAATATTTCTCTTTTTTATTAACTTTTTCAACTTACACACATA